AAAAAAAAGGGTATACAGATGAATGTCCATTTTGTATCTGTGTATTCAAAGTGGTTAGGATAGATATATGGTTATATTCTCTTAATGAATAGAGTAATTTGTTCTAATGGTGTTTGTAAACAGGATATGTCCACATCTTGTATAGCAACTAACCACTAGGAAGAATATATGCAATGTATAAATTATTGAAACTGTCCTACCAATTTGATTTGAAACTGTCTCATTGCTATTTATCAATAAAATTATGGAAAAAAAAGAAAATGTAGTTTTATAGAATGTAAACAAATGGTTACCAAAGAAGAGATAGGAACATCATCTGAGAGATTCCACTTATGTAAATCATAGACAGTTTCACAGAGGAATTTTGCCTAGTCTTTCATAATTACAAATTTAGCTTAACATAAAGACATAATTACAGGTTTAGCTGTTCCATAAAAAAGGTATTTTTTTATGAAGAGTGTAACAGTGAACTCATACATACATCCCCAAAAGAAAATCTAATAAAAATTACATGCAAAACTAGTAAAGGCAGCAGAGCAAGCATGGACTCTGGACTAGCAGTAGTTAAGTAAATCACAGCTCTAGTTTACTAGCTGCTAAAACATGGTCATTCCAAGGCCCCAGTTTTCTCATTGGTTAATGGTACTAAACTCAAAAGATTAAATTACTTAATAGGGTTGGGCTTTTTTTAGTATTCATAGGGGATGGGTTACAGGACTCTCTCCTTCAGTCTCTCTCCAGGATACCAAAACCTACAGTTGCTCAAGTACCTTACATAAAATGGAATAGTACTTGCTTGCAGCCTCCATATGCATACTTTATAATACTTACTGTAGAGTATGTGCTATATATAACAAGCTGGGGAAACAACCCAGTGCTTCACACCTGCTAGGCAAATAAATCGTCTACCTCTGAGCTACAGTCCCAGATAATACTGGATAAATCATACTGTTCAGGTAATAATGACAAGGAAAAGGTTTGTGTGTATTTATTACAGCTGCAGGGGTTTTTTGTATTTTGTTTTTCTTTGTCTTCCTGAATACTTTTTTTCCTGTGGTTGGTTGAGTCCGCAGATGCAAAAACCAACCACTATGGAGAGCTGACTCTATTTGTAAAGGCATAGGAACAGTGTTTGATATATAAACATAGAGCTCTGTCTTCTACAAATACTAATCCATAAATCCTAAATGGAAATACAAGCAAACAACTCAGCAGCCAATAAACATAAAATTGATATAGAATTTGTGAGGATTATTCCATATTAGGAAATCTGTTAACATAGTCCACCATTTGAGTTGATTTATTGAGACAGTGATTACCATGTTACTCTCATAGATATTTAATGGCAGTTGATATAATTATATGAACATTCTTGTTTTACTTATTTTTTCCATTAAATATTGTTTTGAGAAAACATCCTTACAAAAATACATATTCCTTAGCATAATAAAAATATATCTCAATCCAAAAGCCACTGTCTTGCCAGGGATACAGCTCAGTGGCCCATGGCAAGTACATGGTCGTGAGTTTGATTTCCAGTATTGTATGCAAAAGCCAGTGCCCAGGAAAAGGTAAAATATTATTGCAACTGTTAAGTATTTTACATTGGTTTTGAGGTATTCCTAAGGTAGATAAGAAAACAAAGATATAAAATGTTAAATTATCACTACTTTTGTTATAGTTGTATATGTAAAGAATTCAAAACAAATCCACTGAAAAACTATTAAAGGCTAAGAAAATTTGTTAGAGTATCTAGCGTGTCTGGGTACTATTAATATTTAACAACATAGGGGGCCTGTTCTTAGCTCAGTCATTTAAGCACCTGCTTATGCAAAGGCAGTCAAGAGCAGGATACCGCAGTTCGATCCCCAGCTAGTCCTTCC